CCCTCACTTGTTCATAAATCTATTTCATTAAATTCTATTCAATTCTCTAAGTCGTAAATGATAAGTTGATAATAATCAAAAAGTATATTTATGTGCGACTAATGATTTACGAGTACTTGTGCTGTTTCACTTTTTGTTATTATAAAATATATATTAATACTTTTTGTTTCCATCATTCCTATTGATTTTTATACCTAAATGCTATTAGGCTATTATTCATTATACCTAGTAACATTATGCGAACGAAAATTATGTAAAAAAAGTGTAAAAGATAATTATGTCAACATAAACTTGTCAAATAAATTGTGTGCCTAAACAAGTATTTGAATTTTGGATTTGATCACATACTTAAGCATAAGTATGCCAAAGTATATTAAGAAAAAAAAAGTGAAAAGAAGGGATCCTCTTTTTTATCGCGAGGAAACCCCCACAGGACGTCACCTCATCTAGAAGTGAAGTGATATGTCGGAATCACAATGCGCTCTTCTGTTCCGTGAATCTTTGGTATTAAAATTATTTAGAAAAACTGCCGTAGGATAGAATTTACATCGGAATTTCTGTTTTCTTAAATCGTTCATTTTAATATGTATTCGATTTGTATCTAAAATGATAGACCGAGAATAAACCATTAACTTAATTACTTTTAATGTCGAATAGACACGTAATAACTTTTGTTCAATTACGTATCAATGCCATTAAATATTAAACTGAAATGTTATTTGATTAAGTGTTTACTAATAGTTTGTGTTAAATGTTTCAAAAATACATATACTTGTGTATTTCAGTATTGTTTACTGAATCTATCCGTACTGCTGTACGTGTGTGTTTATGTGACAGTAGAGTTGTCATTAATGTCTAACAAATACTTTTAAATACTGCTTCGGTAGCGCAGTGGTAGGGCATGCGACTGCTGTTCTGAGGTCTCGGGTTCGATTTTCAGGTCGGATAAAATGTTTGGGTGGTCTGCAAATATTTGTTTCCGAGTTTGGGTGTTTACTTTGTATAATATGTGTATATTTACAAAAAAGTACATAAGTATTCTATCAGTCAATCTAGCTTTCATAGTACGAGTACAAGCTCTGCTTAGTTTGGAACTAGATGGCGTTGTGTGTAAGATGTCCGAAATATTATAATACTCGTATCGATATCTTATGATGACATAACTTGTTTGTGATAGGTCAGCTGAGTTATAGGTAGTTAAATATAGGTTTGGGTCTTGTAAAATCCCAAATCCATATTTAACTACCACCCCTATCCATCCCGCTTTCCGTGGATGTCGTAAGAGCCGACTAAGGGAGCAAACTACGCAGGACAACAGCACTGCAAAGACAAGGAAGACTTGAAACAAACCCTATACCAACCCGACAGGCCAGCGAGGTATAGTAGGCTAAAACCTCCGTTCTAAAGAGGCCTATGTCCAGCATGGCCTATGAAGAATATAGGATGACTGGATAGGATGGATAGGTAAGACGATGGCCATGTAAACATTGACTTTTATTTACAATTTGAGGTCATGTGAGCGAAGTACCTTTTCCCTGAGTCTGCCAAACACTGCTAAAGCAGCACCAATCTTGCTTTTAGTTTTCGGGTCGAGGTCACCCTTACATGTTAAGGTACTACCCAGGTTTTTAATTTATCAACCTGTTTCAGGACAGCACCGTCGTGTCGTGTATCCAGTGGACCATGGTTACGGTATGTGCTGCCATGACTTCTGTCTTAGTGAAATTAATTTTAAGACTGAATTTACGACAAGACTATTAAGGTTTATATTAAGGTTCTCCATCAACTCCTGCAAATCTTCTGGGGATTCCGCCATAAGACACAGGTCATCAGCGTACATGACTTCGGTGATAAAGTCGTTAGAAACTTTGGTGTATTCTTTCAGTCGGGATAAGTTTAAAAGTTTGCCGTCAGGTCGGAAACGGATATGTAAACCCCTAGAACTGCTCTGCAAGAAGTCTCACACAACTACTGCAAAATACAAGGCAAATATGGTGGGTGCCAGTACACATCCTTGTTTTACCCCGCAAGTCCGAAAGTAATCCGTATCTCAATTAAAAATGAGTCGGATTTCAAATGGTCAAATGCTCACATTGTCATGAAGCCGTCGTATCAGTCTCAAAAATTTATCAGTGCAACCGAGCTTCACGAGGCACGCTATCGAAGGCCTTTTCCAGGTTTACAAAGCATAGTACCAGTGGCTGTGATTGTTCCTTGCAATTTTCCTGTAGCTAACGAATAGAAAAGATTGCCTCACACGTACCTCTATTTGGACGAAACCCAAATTGGGTCTCAGGTAGAGTATTCTCGGACAATTTCAGAAGATTTAGAAAGACTCTTGCAAAAACCTTCCCTGGAGCTGATAATAGTGAGATGCCCATGTAGGAATTGCATTCTGCACGATTGCCCTTACCCTTGTAAAGTGTGCAGATGTTAGACACTGTAAAGGAATCTGTTACTATCTCCTCCTCCCACATACTGCAAAAAAACTCCCAGATAGTTTCATGTAAGTCACTCCCGTCGTACTTGAGTAACTGACCACTGATCCCATCGCTACCCACTGCCTGAGACTACTATTTAGATATGTATCTATTTATTTATTTGGCAAAACGAACAATTCTACATTACGCTATACAAGGTTGCATAAACAATTTAAATATGCCGAGCAGACGAGTCCTCTGATGGTAAGTGACTACCACAAGTGCGTTTCCCTCCTTTTTGTGGCTCTGCCTCCAGAGTTAAGGAAAGGAGGGAATGAGTTTTATTTTAATCACTCAATAAGCAAGGGAACCGATTTTGTGTGTGGTCGTTTGTGTCACCCCGATCGAGTCAGTCCATTTGTGCCGTACCATGACTCTCCCACGCTAATATGCTGGTCAAGATGTATTTTACTGTTGAGATTTATGACTATGTAATTTCTCAGCAGCTTGATAGATTGTAATTATAATCAATTAATACTAATTTGTTCTTCATCCAGATAATGAATCATTCATTAAACGTTGATTACAGCAATTGAATACAGCTAGTAATGTATAAAACGTATTTGTCTGTAATAATGGTTTGCCAATAAACTCCAACTGAAAATATCTTTTCAAAAAACTAACTAAAATTGTTATAAATCGTCTCTAAAGCCATAGATTATAACACACAATAGCAACAATCTCTGTTTTGTCAAATATTTAGCAAAAAAATGACCAAAAACACCACATTGAGTGAGTGAGTTACCGGAAAGCCTAAGGCACGCTCTCCGGTAACTAATTCTGATTTGGTACACAGAGCGTGGTTACGTGGTTGGAACTTTATATGTATGGCGAGCGGGACCGACGGCTTAACGTGCTTTTCGAGGCACAGAGAGGTCTCAAGTGTTAAGGCAAGCCAGGTCAGTCTATACATGGTCATCCATGTATAGACTGACCTGACTAAGATTGCTTAACTTTGCAATTTGCATTTCTTAGCAACACAAAATTACATTTCTTTTAACTTTTGCGTTTCATGTGATACCTATGTTATGTAAAATTAAAAAATGTTTAAGGAAAATAATGCAGTGATAAATCAACCTAAAATTGCCAGAAGTTTCAGGATGTTCAACTAAAAGGTCTATGTTTAACTAAAAGCTTCAGAAGGTCTTTTGGCAGGGTCTTCCAGCAGGGTCTGCTTGCAATTATACCTAGACCTCTAGATTGATTGTTAGACTATTGAAACTACTGATGTAAGAAAACTATTTATCTTACCCCCATATTACCAGTCTTCATAAGATACAATGGAGATTCGGGCATCATCATAAAAAGCACCATATGCACTACTGGTATTGTCAGACAAATCCATAATACAAGATATCTGTTTTTTTGTTTTCCTGTGCAGAACTCTCCTCGCATACCACCCACGAGTGGGTGATGATGTCGGACTCGAACCGACCAAAAACCGCACGACGTCTCCAGGTATTAATAGCCAGGAAACCAAGTCTACCCTCGAAAGGAAAACCTAGGTACCCCGACGTACCTCGGGCCATCTACGGCTTATAGATGACCCCTCCTATGTGGGAACCCGGATGTTCACTTCCTGCTTCCTTCACTAGAGTGACTGATGGCCGTGAGGCCTCCGTCCTCCATAAGAGCAGGCTTGAGGGTGATAGGTGACTATCACCCTCAAGCCTGCGCCTGGAGGACGGAGGTCGTTCTGCGAAAGAATTATCATTCCGACGGCCGCCACGAGGCCACGCCTTTGCTCCATACATGCCGGGCATTCTGCCAGCTTGTGGAGCGCCGTGTCCACGGTCCGGCCATCGCAGTGGTAACACTCAGGCGTTAGCTCCTTGTGGATCAGATACAGTGACCACACGATACACGAAATACTTTAAGTTTATTATTGGTATTAATATAACCTTAATTTTCACATTGTCTTATATGAGTTTTTATGATCTAGAGGTCACCATGGCCACGTTAATTTAAAGAAAACCCGTTTTTATTAACAGGGTTCCTTATTGAAACCCGTTTTTTTTGGTAAATTTTAATTGACGGGGCGTGGGTAGGTCCCCCATAAGGTCGTCCCACGACCTTTACCAGGTAAAACAAAGGGAAAAATAAATGTTATGTTTTATAATTTATACACTTGATTGTTGGCACTCGGTGGGACGTGTAGAAATATATTATGAAATCAAACTCACTTGTTTAGGAAAACAATCACTTTCAACTAAAAATGGTAAAATAAATCCTTTAAAAAAAACAGTTGGCACCAAGTTCATACAGTCTAGGTATCTAACCAATATAATGTTACCTGTTATATTGAGGATCCCGCTTATTTTGGTTTTCTCAATTAGATATGTAATTATTTTTTAACTTTTAGTGCTCTTTGTTAGTATTTTTTGAAGTCGGTTCAACTTTTTTTAAATGGAATTATGTTGAAATAATTATGACTGCAAAGTGCTTTATTTTAACAAAAATGCTAGTATTAATTTTTACATTTTTTTATTGATTTTCACTGTTTTCTTCCTTGACTTTTTACTATATTTTATCTTCTACATTAGTTTGATCAGCTTCAAGTTTTTTCTCCTTTTTCGTTTTCAAGTCTTCATAGATCTCTTCTAATCCTCTCTGTTTTGTTTCGGGCATTACTAAGATAACATAAACTGCAGTGAGCAGACATACTGCCCCAAAACAATAAAATGTGACGTAAAATCCAATAGCGTTAACAATTGGCTTATACACTAGCATTTGAAAGAAGGCAGATAGTGAACCTGACGAATTTGATGCTGCTATCGCTGTTCCACGATACTGTAAAAATAAACAAAATATGGCGATAAAACGAATGACAGTAGAAATATTTGATTTATCTTAAAAGATGAGATTATCCTTTAGGGATGGCATATATTCTTAAAATTAAGCAGAGTGTGAAATAGGCAAATGGGGGAAGACACCACACAAAAAATGTCTCCTAATTTTTTAAGTCAGTTATCAAACTGACAGTATTTCTAGGAGAGATTTTTTAATAGGGCACTAAACTTACGCAATACGTAGAAGATAGCCAGAAGACAAGGACTATATAAATTTATTTTTAAATTACTCATAAGAACTAAACTAAGGTACTTGACGCTATTATCATACTGAGAATTTAAACAAGCAATTACCACAAATAAAAAAAATACCTTGTACGAAAACATTTCTCCAAAAATAATTACGGATACGGGCTGAAGACCCGAGGAATCGCAGAAGATGCACAAGCAGAGAGCGGCTATAGGCAGCCAGGCCACCTGGTACACATCACATACTTCAAAATCTCTTAGAATAAACCACGATGCAAGAGCACACATGCTCAGTCCTGATATCAGCGCTGTTACAATAAATAGAGGCTGTAAGTAAAGAAAATATAAGTTTTAGAAACAAATTTTATTGAGAGACAAATACACATTAAACATGCAATTTGAAATTCATTTAATTTTTTTGGTGATCTGCCAACTGTATTTATATGTCACTGAATTCTTATAAGGAGTTTTTTTTTAATTCACTTTCTTTAACTGTTCCGTAATTCTCTTCAATTATATTTTTAGAAACCTTGACGAAAATAATTATTCAAATAAGTGCAACGGTTTTCAAGTGATGCACTCACACAACTGATTTTTATATGTACTCGTACAGATATTACTCACCTTTCTACCAGCTCTTTCCACCAAGCTGAAACCCAAAATCGATCCGATGACTTGAACTGCTCCTAACACCATGGCTTGTTGGTTAGGACTGAACACTAGGCCTGTTCCTTTTGAGGCATCTGAGAATATTGCTCCAGCAAAATTTAGCACAGGAATAGCGCCGCAGAACTCCCGCGCTAGTGACATTACTAGGGCAATCTTAAATGCTCGAAATATGAGTTTGTCTGTAACTGCAATAAATAAACAAATATATATTTTTACTAACTTTTGCCCTCAGCTCCGTAAAAAGTACACACACATAAAGATACACAAGATAAACACATAAATTGGAAATCTCACACAACTAAATCAAGATCTAAAATCTCTAAGTTCAGATATGCCTTCCGCGAAGTTAAAAAGACCACCTTAAAACAGCTCTCACCACTCACCACAGGCATAAACTTATGCCTGGTTTTATCGATTTATATTTTGGAAATATGCCAATTCGTCAGTAAAAATTGACATCTATTTACAAAAACAGAAAAAATACACACTACGCCATAGGGCTAAATTAAACCTACCTTCATCTGGACTTCAAATTCATTCAAATAGCGCTCAAGTAATGTCTACACGTATCAATTTTTTTAATAAATAACCCAACGAATCCGAAATGAAACCATATACAATTTATTAATAAATAGATTGAAATAATTACTTCTACAGAAATGCTATTACAGCATCAACAAATACCTGAGTGGTAAAAACGACTGTAGTTGAATGAAATCGCAATGAAATAAATATGTACATAAAAACTAAAGTATAATTATTATTGTTAATTTGCATTATCTCCTCCTCTCTCATCTATTGCTGTGCCCAACAGGGTCCTTGGTGATCTGATCTCATATTTAAGTTATCTTCTAAGCAAACATTATGAAATGCAAAACATATCTTGAGTATTAAATATCATTTGTTCTATTTCTGGGTATAATTTATTTATAATATGAATGTATTTAGAAATATATAAGTATGTTTATCTGCAGTCTTATTACAATAGTACAGGCGCCACCTGGTTTGGAGTTAGACGGCAGTGTGTGAGATGTGTGATTATTATAATACTTACAAATAGCTCTAAACACGTATTTATTACTTTCTTGATCTTTTATCTGTTCGTTCTTGATACGAATGAGTTCGTCCTGGATAACTATATCATCTTCTTTTCTACACCTGAGCCAGGCTAGACATCTAGCTGCTTCCTGAAACGAAAATTTCGATATTTACACATGTTTATAGATAGCAGAAAAGAATAAATAACTGCTTATTGATAAAGAAATTAACACACAGAAGAATATTTATCTCGTACGTTATATCCTTCTTCCTCTTCCACTGGCCTCCAGCCTCTTTGTCATACTAGGTTGGAGTCGGATTTTAAGTCAACTCCTCAACCCAAATGCTACGCGATATCGAAGTTCTGTAGAAAGACTGTCGTGGAACTATTTAGGGCACCAACTACCAGTAACCATTGTAACTAATGTTCGTATGGCAACCGGGACCGACGGTCTAACGTGCTTTCCGAGGTACGGAGAGGACTCAATGTGTTAAGAATGTTCATCCATCCATGACTGACCTGGCTAGGATTGCTTAACTTTGAATGTGTTTGCTACTCGGTTATTACTTAGTAACGTGCCCCTTGTACGTTATATGGTGTGGTGGCTTCCGTGCGGTGACGGATTAAGAATACAGAGTGTCACCACCCCTATTCATGCCGTGGGTGTCGTAAGAGCCGACTAAGGGAAAAAACTAGGTAGAACAACAGCACTGCAGAGAGAAGGAAAACTTGACACAAACCCTATACCAATCCGTCTGGCCAGCGTGGTGTAGTAGGCCAAAACCTCCTTTCTAAGGTGAGGCTTATGTCCAGCAGTGGACTATTGCTGTTGATGATGTACGTTATATCTTAAGACCACAAAAATACTTTGATACAAATTTTTCAATGCCGTTAATGAGATAATGTAAAATTACGGGAATTGACGCAATGACAAAGCAATCTTTGAATTGCCAGGCGTATCCACCGGGATATAATGACCATGGTCAGAGGTCCATGTATATGTATAAGCTGTTGGGTCAGTTCGCAATTATATATAGACCTCTAGATAGATTTTTAGACCATTGAAACTACTGATGTAAGAAAAATACAATTATCTTACCTCCATATCACCAGTCTTCACAAGAAACGATGGGGATTCGGGCATCATCATGAAAAGCACCATATGCACTGCTGGTATTGTCAGACAAATCCATAAAATAGTACGATAGCTTAAGAAATCGCCGATAACATAGACGAATAGGTTTCCAGTGGTATGAAATACAATTATCTGTAAAATTAATATTCAGCATTTTCTTTTCTTTAAAAAAAGACAACTCCCGCATTAGGAATATATCCTGTGTCGCGGGGGACTTTATAAGCATACATGAAACGGACACAAAGAACACTTAGACTCGGAACAACAATTTGTGGATCACACAAAGTGTCGTCCCATGTGGGGTTTGAACCCACAACACTCGGTGTAGTAGGAAGCGGCGTGGCGACCGCTTAAACCACTAGTCTGTACAGTGCAGGTAATTATTTAACATGTACGAGTAGACTGCACTAAAATATTGAAGCGATAAAATTGAATAAAAAAAACTAAGAAACAATAAAATTAGGAAAATATTATTGGGTAAAATATCATATAAAGATAAGAATACCGAATATTGGATATTGATCTTTATGGTCGTACCAGAGATCCAAGCATTCCTCTGACACTATCTTCACTAATCTCCTTCGTGTACAGAGGACAGGTTACGTAAGATCCAGCCATTAAAACACCAACCAACGCTCGCGCTGATACAAATGCGGCGAACTCCAAAGAAAGTAGTTTGATCGCCCAACAAGTCTGTAATTGTAAACTTGTATAAATATATATATATATTTATAAGACTAGAATAGTAACGGATATACAGCCGCTGTCTGTAATTTTTTTCTTTTTCCAAAATTGGTGGCAAACTAGCAAACACTGGAAGCTACGTGGTAATATTTTCCACTTCCAAGGAGGTGATTGGCAATGTTAGGGATAGATATACAGCTATCGTATAGATAACAGCTATCCGTTGTATCTCTAGTATACTCTATAGATCCAAAGCATGTATATCTACAATTAAGGGAGAAAATTGAATTGAAAATAAATACATGAAAATTAACATAATATATCGTAACCACATTAGGCCGGCTCAAGTAAGCTTCATATACTCGTAAACAAATAAATAAAATTGAAGTGTCTGTTTGTAATGTCAAAATTATAGGTTTTTTTCCTGCTCACACGGTTATTTGCACGATACCTTTGACGAAAACCCAGTTTTTAATTTTCGAAACGGCTGGACCAATTTTGATAATATTTTACTACCAGGTAGCTGTCTACATAAGGAATAACTTAGGCTATTTTTCCTCTCAGAAAAAACCCTTTAAAATTTTGCTCGGTCTAGGCATCGAACCCATTATGGCTGCCATAATGGCTTTTCGAATTCCACGCGAACGAAGTCGCTTGTACCAGCTAGTCTAAGCTAAAAAAGTGACGTCCAAGTCAGTAAAAAATAATTGAAGTGGTACTTACAAAACCAGCTCCAGATAAAATGAATATAGTATTCTTTCGACCAATTCTGTCCCCTAACGCGGCCATTAGAAAGTTGGCCGGGAAAGAAACCATATAAGCCACGGCTGCCATACAAGACACCTGAAAATTTCAATACTTCTAAAAGGTAATCGAATTTTCTGATTAGATAACGGTACATAACGGTAGCCTAGTGGTTAAGGCATTGGACTTGCGATCAAGAGGTCGTGGGTTCGAATCCTGACCAGTACACTACCGACGTGAACCCTCTCCTAATACAAGCAATTTATCTTAGTTGGAGGGGTTAACGAGAATTCTAGACATTTCGGTTGCTAGTAATCCTTTAAAAAAATAAGAGAAAAGACAGAAAAGATAGGAAGATAAAAAGAGATTAATGCCTAACTTAACGCTTTTCCTATACGTACACACGGTAGACGAAATGCCTGGTTAAGTTTGCATGTTGTGTTATTCCGGTAAGTATGTTATGTATGTTTATTATTTATATTTGTGTGAATTGTAAATACCTCGTATCTTCACTCATCAGAAAAGATTTTTTTAAAGACAACTCTCGCACTAGGAATAAGTTTTGTATCACAAGGGACTTGACAAGCCTTCATAAAATTAACACAAAGAACACCCAGTATCAGGACAATAATTTGTGGATCGCACAAAGTGTTGTCCCATGTGGGGATCGAAACCACAGCACTCAGCGTAGAAGGAAGCGGCGAGGCGACCACCTACACCACTGCGCCATCTGTGCGGTCGCTGCAGTTCAATTAAACTTGCAATGTGTGAGTGTAGAAACGAGTTTTAACAACGCACGAGTACATAATATTATGTAAACAACAGGAGATTACGCATGTGTGTATTACATAACTAGATAACTATTTTTCCGTGTGTACACGTGTATTTTTCCGACAAAAGAATAATCTGTAAGTAAACTTTTGACAAGGGTTTAATGGAATTTTGTTTTCTGAGTTAGGGAAGATCCAATTCTTAAGACATTACTTTTTTCATGGTATAAGGGGGTAACGAGCAGGCGGGTCACCTGATAGTAAGCAACTATCGTCGCCCATGGACACCTGCAACTCAAAAGCCACAAGTGCTTTGCCACCCTTGGGGTCCCTCCCGTTGAGTTAGCGGAAGGGAGATTAGGCTCCGGTAACCTCACTCACTCAGTGAAAGGCAACGAAAGAATTGCGTAACACAAGTTTTCTGTGAGGCCGTGGTACCACTCCGGTCGAGCCGACCCTTTCGTGCCGAAGCATGGCTCTCCCACATAGTTAATAGAGTCTAGAAGAAATCACAAAACTGGTGACGATGTGCTTAAAGTTAGGTTTAAATACTTTGTCAACATAGACATACAATTTTCAGTTATTATCTGTATTTAATCAACCAAAAGTGATTTCTTTTCATTGATGATACAATTGTAAATAAATTGACTTTTACTTGCCCAACTAGAATTAATTGTCTGCGTTTAACTGTACAGACAAATATTATAGTTCTGAAATTATTACTATTAGAGTACATTAGATTCTTCTGGCTTCTTATGACAAATAAATTAAGACAAAGAATATGAAATCAGCGATATTCATTCCATGGGTGATGTAAACCTACTAATGGAGTAAATTACGCAGGGTAACAGCACTGCAAAGAGACGGAAAACGGCCAGTGTGGTATAGTAGTATGCTGTATGCCAATATAGTAGACCAAAAACCTCCTTTCTAAGGAGAGGTCTATCTCCAGCAGTTGACTGTTATAGCTGTTATTGATGATGATGATGATGAGATTCTTCTATACAGGTGTGTACCATCTTTGTCTTCATTATCACTGACTGGCCTGTTGGTTTAGTGGTTAGTGGGCCTGACTGCTAAGCAGGAGGTCGTGGGTTTGATTCCCACCCAGGACAAATAATTGTGTGATGAGCACGGTCATTTGTTCTGTGTCTGGATGTAATTTATATATAATATGCATGTATTTAGAAATATATAAGTATGTTTATCAGCAATCTGGTTACCATAATACAGGCTCTGCCTAGTTTGGGATCAGAAAGCCGTGTGTGAGATGTGTGAAAATATGTATATAAAAAAAAAACTATCCATCAGGACAAATGGAAAAAAATTGCCAATCCAAAATATACCAAACGATATATATACTCACCTCGTAGTCAGTCAATGGAGGTACTTTGGGTGATTTGTCAGATTGTAACAGCAACGTCATGGGGGACATCCATCCTATACTTGCTCCGTAAACGAAAACTGGCATATTTACTGTGGGTTATTAAGAAAAGTTAACCAATACGCATTACATTGACCGAGCAGTGACTTCAGCCCAAGGATTTATAGGCTTTTTTTATTCATGACAAAGGGTTACAATTTAATACATAGGTAAAGAAAAAAAAAAGCCGTGTGGTGTCGTGGGACACCCGATAGGAACGAAGTTGTTACGATCGAGTAAAACTGATTAGACACGATTTTAATTACAACGCCATCTATGAAAGCGGCTATTACCTACATATTTTTCAGTTGGTTTCTAATTAAAACAATTTATACATTGGTAAAAGATTGAGAAATGATGTCGAATACAATATTTTTTGCTCAACCTAAGAACAAAAATTTTAATTTTACTATTCGATAGATGGCGCTGAATGACTGACAAGTGACAATTTAAAATAAAAAGTGTCGTGACCAATTTTCGTAAGAATTTTATCCGTCTAGCCCCCTTTCACAACGCGCGATAAGGAACTTCGTTCCAACAATAGGCGATTTAAGTATCACTGCCATCGCTTGTTTTGTAATACAATATAAATTAAATGATTACGCCTAATTTTTTATAGAATATTATGTTTTACTATCAACGTTTAAATTTCTGTGGACTCTCTGAGAGTTTGTAATACGGTTTTTCAGTTCGTTAAGTAATAGTAGGCAAATTTTTATGTCATAGACCTTGATATTTAGTCAAAGACCATGAGAATATTTTTTTTCTATTTTAATGCTATTAGGGGCAAAAGAACTAATTCGTTACTTAATGGATGAAAAGATTAGAATAGGTGAGTAGATGGTGGTTCTGTTTTAAATTTTGGTGAATGATAAATGATATTTATTTCTGCAAGTATATCTTTTATGCTATTTTCACAAGTCGGATTTTACAGTTGGCTTTAATTAATTAATTAAGGCGCTGGCATATCCTAAGACTCACTCTGGGAAAAAACCCGGATACAAAATATAAAAATTGTTTTTATTTTGTAGAAACTGATTTGAGCATTTGGCGTATAGGAGGAATGTTAATAAAATTTTGACTTTTTTTTTTATGTAATAGGGGGGGAGGGGGGCGTGAAGTGTTGCGTTGTTCTTTATAGCTTATCTTGGTCCTAGTTTTTTTCTAAGTTGCAATTATCATAAAGCTTCTAAGATTTCCAGGGGAACACGAATGTCACAGATTTGGGTCGTTACGTTGTTGTGGCGTTTAATAAATGAAAAATGACGTAAGTTATAACTTTTTGACCTACTCTGTATTTTTTGATAAAGTAGCCACAATTATCTACGTAACCTATCACTTGTACACTCAACTTTCCTATAACTACGAGTAAGTGTAACGAAAAATTAGTTACCAATCAGCTATTATATTCTTTACGTCAGCGATTCATAACAGATTTAAGTAATTAAATTTAATTTAAAAATACTTACTAAGTAGAGCGCATATTATTTGATTGATTTTACTGCCTTCTCGAAACCATAAGTAATAGTTTTTCATTTTTAGGAACTATTTTCAATCTCATTACATTTCAAACGCACAGTTAATAATACACTATTTTTTAAACACTCTTTTTAACATATTTCTAAACGGATTGAATGTGACACTATTCTACAATTGTTCTTTCTTTCGACATAAAGAAACTGATAAACATTTGAACACAGACGGAACTGTTGATCAGTCAAATGTATTTGTAATACTAAAAAGCTTTCGTAAACTCTATCTATGTGTTTGTGTTATGATAATACTTGGCGACAATGAATAAATACACTCGTGGGCAATGAACCCGAGTTGAATTGTAAATTGCTACCTTGAAGAAGGTTGAACATTACCTCTGTGGAATGGCTATCATGGATAACTCACCCCAAACGAGAATGTGTGTGAAGCTACGAGCAGTTAACCCGTTAAGTGTTAAGTGCTCGTAGGTGTGAGGAGATCGGTCGATGTCTGAGATAATTAGATTCTCCCCCATCATGCTTCGGGAGCTACTATGTTCATATACGATTGCGAGAATATTCCTTAACATCGTATAAGAAACTTGTACAGCATTTCATAAAATTATAAAGTGGTAGGAAAACGTTTTGTTTTAAATTCTTGTTTAAAAATTAGTTTTTATGCTTCATGTAAATTTTTATAAACATATAAATCAAAGGAACAGATAAATGTTACGTTTTATAATTTTTACTCTCGATTGTCAGCACACGGTGGGACTTGTGCAAATACATTATGAAATCAAACTCACTTGTTTAGGAAAACAATAACCTTTTATAATGTCCTAAGGCAAAACCATTTAACGTTAGGGCAAATAAAATAAAATAGTCAAATAGTACAAGTGAGCTTGATTTCATAATGTCACGTCTTACATTTAAAGGGTACTAAATTATCTATTAAACACTATTTATTTTACAAAGCTAACTTTCTCGGCGTCCGTAATTTCAAATATTTTGCTGTGGTCCGAACCATTGCTCTCGAGTGTTTTAATGTATCAGTACCATCTCATTGACATCGTGATCCCATAACGAGTACAGAATTACTATGTTCATCAATTTAAAGAATACAGTCAATAGTTGTTTTGTATTTAAATATAAGACGGTAGTGATTTTACAAAACACACATATGTATAAAATATGTATTTACATTCACTCATGCTATGTTCTCCAAAAGATAAGTAATTTGCCTCAAATAAAACACCCGTATTTGTCGACTTTAATTTTAATGCCACTTACGTAACCTTTTACGTAAGTGGAATTATGAGTATCATATTTGTGTTATTATCTTTATTATATTGAACTTTCAATTTTGCCTTTTAATTCCAAATGGGCTTACCTCAGGGTAACAACACCAAACTACGAGTAACTCGGGGTAGCAACACTTATTTGCAGCAGTCATAATTTCTCTATTATTTCTAATTTTTATATACCTCTAAATTTAAAGCAAAACTAAATTACTCAAGCAAACTTCAGAACCAAATATCCATTTATATTACAAAAATCATAACTCGCTAAAAATTACTTGTTCATATAAAAAATATACGTAAAACATTAATGTTATGTCAAATAAACAGCAAGATATTTTACTTTAGAAATTCTGCTGTTGAAGAGCTAGAGCCAGCAGAGCACTTTTACAAACTCCGGTCTCGTCGCTTCGCTCCGTCTTGCAGTCCCCGGAAGCCCCGGTGATTACAGAGGCGTCGAGCTCGACTTCAAGCAACGAGTTTTTCTCCCCGCCGACGTCGCCACCACCTATACGTCGGTAAGGGAGAGGCCGGCCACCTACTTGCTTGGGATCCCGAGGCCCATCGGTTTTGAATAGGGCCACCGCTATCGGTGGTAATGAACGTCGCATCAAATGAACATCTTCAATGAACGAGGACGTCATGCTAACTAACTCTGTTTCAGGAACTTGAACCAACTGTTAACGTTCGTTACAATGATTGTCGGATCAAGTGCAAGCTATTAAGTGATGTAATTTGTTGGATAGCTTACACGATCGTTCGACATCTCACATCCATTCACCTTCTGTGTGAGTGATAGGCATCGACCATATGTTACGCCAAAATGTATTTGATATCTAAGAAATGTCCAGCACTTATTAAATCGTGCTGCTCCCACCTTCTATAAGCCCACCTTTCGTCCCTTATGGAATGTGCGATTCTGAATATATCGGGCCACTCTTTTTTTATACTTTCGTATACGGTTTGCCCATGCCTAAATCTTCTGCTTTGCACTGACTTTCTAAGTCAATGCGCTCTGTGACCCGAGCCAAAAAGCCAAAATTCAGAAAATCCTCATGCAATGAATGAGAAACAAATGCACCCACAACGAGCAACTGACCTTACTTTTTTTAAGATAAGGCCCAAATTGCAGTGACTGTGAACGGCATTCGTTACAGGAATATGATAACGGAGTTCTTGTGGCCTCAACTGGACGGCATGAATCTGGACAACATGTGGTTTCAGCAGGACGGCGCCACCTGCCATACCACGCATGAAACAATCGATTTATTGCAGCAACGATTGCCAGAACACATTGTCTCACGAAATTCTGATGTCAACTTGCCACCAAGATCGTGCGACTTTTTCTTTGGGGTTTTGTGAAATCTCGGGTTTATGCGAATAAACCCGAAACAATTCTTGAGCTCAAATCAGAAATCCAACGCGTCATCACTGAGATACAGCCACATCTCTGTATAAAAGTGCAAAATTTCATGAAAAGAGTAATGGCCTGTCATCAGAGCCATAGGGGCTATTTTATTTCATACTTAATCGGAACATATCTTCTTTATAATCCAATAAAAATATCACAACTCTTTCATAAAATACGTGTTTTTATTTTAAAATGAAAAAGTGCACTCTTACTGAGACACCCTCTAGTACTGTTTAGATTACCAAAAAGTATACATTAATGCCATCATTTAACAGTGGATTTTACCTTGGCACAAAGATGTTCATAGAGCTACCAAGTTCAATAATCGCTGGAACAATCCCCTTTCAACTAAATACATAATATCGTACAAAGTATGGAAAGCTCAGACAGCTGTCAAATAGTATTAGTTCAGCTTTTAACGTTTTATTTAATTAGTTTTAATGGTATTAGTGAAAATGTAAGTTTAACTTATATTACAACCAAAAAATACTACTAGAATTATTATTTCAATTGAAACGAAAGTAAACAAACAATTCATTCGTTTATTGGAAGTAGAAACAAATTTAATTCTACTATCACTAACTTCTACTGTAAGTTATTGTCATTCTACCTTATTTCTTAGTTGCTACTTACCGTTGCTATTGCTGTATTGTCTTCATACTCTACAAAATATACATAAAGAAAATACTTTCTCTGTTTAAATCAATTAACAAAACATTATAACATGTATTTTTTCTTATACTTGTTTCATATAAAATAACCTCTGTCTTCAGTAATTTCACGTGAATGTTAGTTTAATTTAAGACAATTGAAATTATTTTATTACGTGTTTCAAATGTGCAGATCTCCCAAAACATGAGAGCAGTAAATATTCTACCAAATAACTTTGTTAGTCCAAGACTTCAAAGTTTGTTATATCCTATGCATGTGGCACAAATTGTATTTCTAATACCAAAATATACCATCCAAGATGATTTGATTACTCCTAATAGAAAAAAAGCGACTCTTATTGCTGTCTTGATATTGTTCAGTATTCTTGTTTTATACGGTTATCGTATCCTGTTCACCAACTTCATTGAATCCAGCCGACTAAAATACAGTTCTATTATTTCATATTTACTGACTTTCACTGGTTTCTTCATTACATATTTTATAACGATTATTCTATTTAGTCTGAACATAATTCACAGCTACAACAATGTTCAACTTATTTTAAAACTTCAGATAATTCACAACAATATTAATTTCCATAAACAACATTGCAATCATTTCATCGTTTGGAATTGGTTCACTTTATTTGCTGTTATTTCATCTAATTTATTATTACTTGCTTTATATAAATATTCTAAGTACGATAACGTTGTTGATTTTTGTATAGACATATTTATATTTATTATTTTTGATCTCAATGTGCATATTCCCGTTCGATTACTAATTTTACTTACCAAGTATCTAACTGTTTGGAGCCAAGAGATTCACAATACAACTGATCACAGTAAGGAGCATTATGAAGTGAAAATTAAGGTATATCAAAATATATTAGAGGCTTACAGATTGTTACAGAAAATTTTTCAAATCTATGTAAGTGTAACTTTGACTCTTAAATTAGCGTGATATAAAATCATTAATGAACGTCATACTGATTTATGTACAGATGTGTTCTTCTATTGCCGACACCTTCTTGCGTTCTTTGTGGTACATAAAAATACAATTGGACATATTTCTACAAGATCCTGAAGCTTATGAGGTTCGTGCGTTTACTATTTTATCAACCTTGGGAGACTCTCGATTGGTGTGATATTACGGCCTCGCAGAAAATTAAACCCAGTGCTTTTAATTGAAGTTTCTGCCTAGGCCCCTGAAGCTAAAAACCACCTCGTCTGCCAGTCTTAGGAGCCCTTCTCTGGTGAGAACCTAGACCGTGTAAATACAGGTCCCTCCGCGGATCGACGCTATATTTAAGCCTGAAGCTTCTCCCTACCAAACACTAAATATTGCGTGCAGATCCCATTTTGGTGATATCTGCTATCCTATCCTCTACCGCAGTGATTAATCCACTTTCCTGCGGCCCGCGGTTCCGTCGGTGGCTCACACCACCACCCCCCAGACGACATCTTCGCTGGGGATCTGCCCTCTACCGATTTCGTTCAGAAATCCCTTTATGAAGATTTACAGTTTCAAAGAAAGACACCAATGTAAGCCAGCCCTCCTAATCCGTCACCATGACAGTGATGATTGCTGGTGTGGACAGATCTCGTCCGAAGGCCACTGAAGATAGAGTATAGTATTTTTCACTTGATGATGATATGGTATTATACAAGAACTGTTTATTTCATATTAATATAATGTTGTTTT